TTTCTTGCTTTCTGTCTCTCTGTCTCTCTGTCTCTCTCTCTTTCTGTCTTTCTGACAATCACATGCACCCTATAGCAAAAAAAAAAAGAAAAGAAAAGAAAAGAAAACTCTCCAAAAAAAATTTTTTTAAAGAAAATGTTTGATGCAGCTTTCATGAAAAGTCATTTCCAACCCTGGTTCCATATAAGAATCACCTGAGAGCTCTTAAAAATCCTGATGCTCAGGCTGGACCCCAGAAATGAGAATTTTTGGAGAGAGAGCCAGGCACCTGTATTTCTTATTTTGTGTTTAGCTCTCCAGTTGAGTCTTAGGTATAGATAAAACTGGGAGCCAGGGCCTGAGAAAGATGATAGGCAGATCAGGGTGTCTTCTGTAAAAGCCCTCAGAAGTTCCTGGTGAATCTGAATTCCAGTTGTTTTGGCTTAGAGTAATAGAACATGAAGATGCCCTCCTAACACATAAACATTTATCTCTTTGGGGCCAGTAGATGGCTGGATCCCCCATACCTGACTCCACAGTTCAAGTCCCAGACCCAGCAGCTTGAAAAACACACTGGGCGTGTGTGTGTACGTGCCCAAAATCCCAAGAGAAGAGTGGAGGAGAAGGGACTGTGGCATGGCCATCCCCCATGGGTGGTGATTTCTCACGTTCTGTGTGTGTGTGTGTGTGTGTGTGTGTGTGTGTCTGGTAAGTGAGGATGCCCTATAGCAAAAATCTCCAAAAAAAAAAAATTCTTTTGTAAAGACATATCTCTCTTTATTCATTCATTCATCCACTATGCAAAGAACTCCTGCAATGCCCCACAGTGCAGGGGGTTACCAGGTCCTCTTCCCTTCCCCTTAGGTAAGCTTACAGGCCATGAGAAAGGCAGACAAAAAAAGAGAGACAAACCCATCGGAAATATTCACAAACTCCAATCAGTGCCAGAAGGAACAGATGCTGAGAGGGAACAAAGTAGGGAAGGGACTGTCAAACAGAAGCATACTCAATGGGCCCACTCCAGGAGTGCCTAACTTCCTAAGGATATGTACCGTCTGCTCTTGATTAGGCACTTAGAATTCTGAAGGAGTAGATACTGGCTTGTGCAAGCTACTAACTAACAAATAATTATTGTTTGATAGCAATGCAAATGAATTTCATCTTAGAAAAGAACACAGCAGTGAAGTTGCACCTTTTTTCCCCGTAGGGCATTAATCAGTCTTGTACATCCTTTAGCTATACTCTTCCAGCATTCTTTCTTTCCATGACTATAAATACTTCTGAGTGTCTATACTTTCTTAAGCCAGTTTAACCATATGCTGGTCTCTTTATCAGTGAATTAATCTGACAGGACCCACATCAGGTAGGTTGGTGGGGACAGTCTCTGAACCTTGAGGGATGAGAGGGGGCCAGTCATGGGAAGCAGAAAGAAAGAACAGACCCCTCGGAAGCTAAGACCTCATGATAGCGAGGGCGTATTGCCCTGTGGTAGGAAAGAGAACACCCAGAAATGGCAAGAAGGCCAGTGAGCCTGGGAGGCAGCTAGCAAGCAAGAGAGAAAGGCTGGAGAAGAGGAAAAGTAAGCAGAGACTACATTATGCAGGACCTCACGGATCAGTGTAGGGACTTGGAATTTTTTACTAAGGGTTTAAGGAAGAGGATGAACTTATCTGATATATATTTTTAAAATATCAATCTTTCTGAAGTGTGAAGAGAGATCAGAGAAGAGAAGCGGCCAGGGAACCAATGACCAAATCAGGTAGTCAGGTGAGTGGCTGAAGGTGGCCTGGTCTAGGAGGGACAAAGAAATGGAGGCAATGGGCAGTGAGAATGGAACTTCACTGCCAGGATTTCTGACAGACTGTATTTGGGAATGAGGGAAAAGGAGGAATCCAGGATGACTTCTGGGTCCCTGGCTTGAGCAGCTGTAGATGATGGCAGCGCCTACTGAAATGGGAATGACTGGGAGTTAGAGGTTAACATGTACACATACACACAATTGTGTGTCATTCATGAAATAAAGGTATCCATGGGTGTGACTCCCTGTGTGTGACAAGGGTACCACAGCCTTTGGGATTAGGTCTTCACAGAGCATTCTCTTTGGCCTTCAAGGTTCATGTCATCAAGCATTAAATTAATGGATTTCAAGTCAGAAACTGGAAAATTCTATGTGGCAGCTCAAAGTTTGGTCCAGTCTTGTCCTTATTCTTACTCAACATATGCTGACTACAAATAACCTTTATTCAATAAATCTTCAAATGAGAGGAGAAAACTCAGAACTAACTCTGGATATACTCAGACCCCCAGAGGTAAAGGAAACATCAGTGTTTATAAAATACAACTGAGAAAGCCTTATATTTGTGAAAAAGTGTTCATCTTTACCCAAGTGATAACTTCAGTAACCCTTTCCACGTACTTGGGAAATCAGTGTAGATCTGGGCACAAGTGTAATAAACACTTAAGTATAACTTAAAACAAGCAACAAAAATGTCAGAAGTTTATTCTTGTATTCAACAAAGAAAATCTAACTTTTCCAGAAGATAAAGTTGGAAGATACTACAATAAAGCTTAATGGGTCCTTACAGCACAATACAAACTCAATGCCTACACAAACACAAATTCAATATGATATAACTTTCGATTAATCAAAACAAATGATGACCAAAGTAGTGATGTCTTGTATCAGCACCTAGCCTGCCAATGAAATAATGCTTCATCAAGAAACCTAATTCAAAGAACCAAATTCTGTAACACCAAGGGATGCTTTTTGGTCCAGTATTTTTCCCATTCAGAAATATTCTGTTACAGATTACAATCAGTACCCAGTACCTTACTTTTTTTTTTTATTTATCTTTCAGGGGGAGAGGGTTTTTTGTTTTTGTTTTTGTTTTTGCTATAGGGCGTGTGTGCTCACCAGAAAGATAGAGAGAGACAAAAAGGCAGAAGTCACCACCCCAGGAGGAATGGCCATGCCGCAATCCCTTCTCCTCCATTCTCCTCTCAGGATCTTGGGCACACACGCACACACGCCCGGCATGAGTTTAAGCCACCGGGTCCAGGACTTGAACTGTGGTTGACTACATGAGAGTCCAGCGACATAGCCACTATGCCAACTGCTGGTCTCTAATTTATTTTTTTAGATAGAGATTTTATTGCTATAGGGCACGTGTGCTCATTGGAGAGACAGAGAGATAGAAATTAAGAAATCCCCCCCCAGGGTGATGGCCATGCAGCAATCCCTTCTCCTCCATTCTCCTCTCAGGATTTTGGGCATGCATGTACACACACCTGACATGAGCTTTAAGCCACCAGGTCCAAGACATGAACCATGATCAACTGTATGGGAGTCTAGCAACGTAACCATTACACCACCTGTTCATCCCATTACCTTACATTTATTAAGAAAGAAGAATCAAAAAGAGGCTATTTTGCATAGCAATTAAGAGCCTGGAACTGGAGGTGGAAGTCCTCACTCCAAACTACTAACCCTGTGTCCTTAGGCATGTCACTAGACCTCCCTAAATTTCAATTTCCACATCTATAATACAGGGACAATAACAGCACCACAGAGACTTGCAGTGTTCCGCAGGAACTATCAATAGTTCATCTCCCCTAGTAGGCACACGAGGGAGCTGTGTTCCCCCCAGTCTGCTCTCCAGTGAAGTAGATCCACGTGATAAGATCTGGCCAATGCACCATGAGCAGCAGTAACATGAGTCCCGTCCAAGTCAAAGCATGTAACTCTTAGGGTGAGAAACTCTCCCCATCTTGTCAATTGTGGGAGCAGGTGCTATATTGGAGATGCCAAAGGATAAAGCAGCCAGGATCACAGAGCCACCACGCGGAGGGCAGCTTCCTTGGAGGCTCACTCTGACCTACTGCCACATGGGAAATAAACCTCTGTCTGGTTGAAGCGCTGAGACTGGTGGTGTTTGCTATTGCCATCACAGCTCCTCCTAAGCAATGCAAACTGACACAAGTACCTAATTTAGTAGGGTGTTGCGAGGATTAGAGGAGACAGTACCTGGCACACGCTAAGCCCTCCACAAAGATTAGCACCACAATTGTGGCCCCCTGAGGCTTAGCGCGAAGGGCTTTGCTCCTGCAGCCAGCTACGGCAATCTTCTCAGCTCTCTGGATTGTCCTGCATGGTCTCCACGGACTGACCGAAAATCCCGAATCCACTTAGATGGTTCAGAGCCTTTGGCAGCACAGGCATGAACGGTTGAGTGATTTTGTTTTTCATCTCAAAATGAGAAAAAGGAATAAAGTCCCTGTAGAGCTGCGTGGACATGGGAAAGTAATTTGTACCGTAGTGAACTATCAAAGGACCTCAGCGCATCCCTCCAATAACCATCTTCTTCACACAGATTTTAAAATCAATTCTGAGGCAGTAGGTATAATCTAATAATTGGGAGCTTTGTTTTGGTTTAAGTTGTGGACAGTGCTCAAGCATATAGTGAGTTGAGGGCAAAGATGGCAAGATAAGAAAATGTTCAGTCAGAACTTTGAGAACATAAATTCATTCTAGCAAAACGTGGGTAGCCCCAAAGCATTTAGCAGTTATCAGAACAACTTGAACTGGGAGGTAAAGGGTGAGCATACCTGATTTGACTGGCAGGGATGGGAGAGAAAGAATAGGGACAGTTCCACTCAAGCTACCCTGACACTCAGCCCCTCATTGCTAACAGCATCTTAAATGACACGGTGGATGCCCGAAGTGCACAGACTCTAGAATTCCTACCCCAATCACTTCCTGCTAAGAACATAATCTATTTTGTTCAAACTGCAAGTTGGTTAAAAGGAACTAATCCCAGGTCACTCTGAATGTTTTTCTCCATTTAAAAATAGAAAGAAATTAAGATACCTGCGAAGTTTTATTACATCTTACAGAGGAGTTGGAGGAAACCATGAGAAATTCCACAAAAGCTTAAAGAATGGATCTTAAACCCACTAAAAATGGTTCTCGTAAACAAGAAACCTGTCACAAACAAGAAAATGTGTAAACGTGAGATACTTACCACATTTAATATTCTCTATCCGCACAGGGAGGCCAGACTGTGCTGCGGCAATTAACTTCAGGGCAACGTAAAACTGTGTTGGACCAAAATAACCAACCCGCTTTGCACCACACAGTTCTGTGATCTGAAACAGATAGGAAAAATGATGCTGAGAACTCAATTTCATGACAGGAAAATGACACAAGACACATGGTGAAACCTGGAGGGTTGCACAGCAGAGCTAGAAAGTCCCTTGGGAACCGATGTGTACACACTGGTCTGTTACTATTTCCTCCAGTTCACAGGGGGGTTTTTAACATAGATCAGAAAGTTCTACCTACTCAAGGCATTTCAAGAGTGAGTAACTGATTATCCCTCCTCTTTCAGAGATAAAAATAAAAGTGGCAAAGGATGGCTTACAAAGGAGAGTGACTTTCTCTGGGGAGGATTCTAACGTGCAAAGTCTAGAAAGTCAGCTGGGTAAAAAGAGATTAGTCATTACCACTATAAATGAACTTTCCTAGTTTATCCAAATTAAAAGTGAATTATTATTTTTACATAGTTCTCAGGCAAAATCATTCTCCAATCATTGAAATTACATCTTGGGTTCCCATTTCAGAAGAACAGAAAGATGTGTACTACACACAGAAATATTTTCAAGACACCACAGCCATTGTTGCTTCCTATCTTGTCACCTAGAACTAGAATATTCTCCTCCCCACCTAGATTGAATGCAAACGTGACTTCTTATTTGAAGCTTCTTCCCAAGGCCCCTGGTAGTTTATTTTCCCTGTGTATTTGCAAAGCACTCTATCCAAATGTCTATCAATGGCCATCCCATCATGCGTTGTCTTGGATTTATTTCAAAATAAAAGGAGGAAGGGTGAAAAAAGCATAACCAAGAGTTAATAATTATTGAAGTTCAGTCATAGGTTCATGAAGGTTCACTCCACTATTCTTGTACTTTTGAAATTCCCCCATATTCAAGATTTTTTCATTTCTAGTTTAACACTATCACACTACATTATCATTATCTGTTTTTCTCAACCTCCAATTAAAATGTCTTCTCTTTGAGAGCAGGAAGCAACTTCTATTCATCTCCTAGCATGAGGACAGGCACCCAAAAAGCAGTCAATACATTTTCAATCAAGTGCATGAAACCTACCCTCAAAAATAAAATGTAACTAAGTTTTATAATATATCCCTTATTGTGCATATACAAATTACATATCTCAAGGTATAGACTAAGCTATACATAGACCAAAAAATAAAAAACCATCAGTGTAGTTCCAACATATAGTTGTCTTACAGAATAAGTCCCAATATTAATAAATGTATAATCCTTGGTATGTGAAGAATTTGACAACTATATTCTAGTCCATGTTAATTTAGTACCAGGTTAACTTTCAGTTATTCCTTTACCATAACTACCACAATCGAACTGAGAAAGCTCTTTACAAGAGGTAAGTGAAACTGCTAGTAAAACATTTGTTATGGTACTTTAAGACTAACACCTAAATCCGACATTACTAAACCACCTTATTTACTTTGGATTCTGTCCTTCAGTCCCATACACCACTAGAATCACTGCTTTGGAGCCAAAGTAGAATATATACACTTCAGTAAATTCAGCTCATAAGTCACTTTCCTGGATTTTTGTACAGCAAACCTCTGACAGACATGCCAAGAACTCTGAAATATTCAAGCCTCAAAGAAGAGAGAATAATTATAAGCCTTTGGAACTTACATATGGAGCTTCATAAGCCTGGGATTTCTCAATCCAAAAATACAGGTTAATTTTGCAAGGTTTTTTTGGTTCATCGAGGTTCAAAGTGTTCTAAGTTTAAATTCTCCATGGAAAAGCTCTAAATTATGGGTAGAAATGTTTTTAATAACATCTAAAGAAAATATAATGGTGGTTCATCTCTGGTACTCAATTAACAGAAGGTATTTTATATAATCAATCCTCCAAAGAGCCCAAGTCACTGGTTCAGCACACTGGTGTAAGTGGTAGGGCCTCATTGCACAAAACTGGGGCCCCAGGGGAGGCTTAGGTTCGGATTCTGGACCAACGTGAACAGGCTGAGCAGAGTAGTGGGTGCCTATAATCTCAGCTAACTGGGAGGCTAGGGCAGAGAACTGCAATGGGGAGACCCTATCAAAAACATCTCCCTCCTCCCCATACACATCCTTGTTCTCATAGTTAAAAAAAAAATAGTCCTGGACCAGCTCTGTGGCCTGGTGGGTAAGGCAGCCAGATCCCACATGGCTGTGAGGTTCAAGTCCTGGATCCAGTAGTTTGAGAAACTCACCAAGCACATATGTGTGTGTACTCAAAACCCCAAAAGGAAGAAGAGATGGATGAAAATGGATTGTAGCATGACCATGCCCCATGGGGAATACTTTCTCACTTTCTTTCTGTCTCTCTTTCTCTCTCCCTGGAATTCTCCAGAGCACATGCCCTCTAGCAAAAAACAATCCGAGTCACCAAGCTGTTCTCAAAATAAAGAAAAATACAAAGATTCCACTCTTCTTCTTTAGCCTCAACTCCAAAACTGTGACCCTCTCAGCTGGATCCATCTTAGGTTACACATCGTGCAAATTCCTAACACAGAATAAGAACCTATGGACTAGTGTTTGTTTACTCAGCTGGAAGGCAAGATGGGAAGAAAAGGGCATGGATGAAATCCACTTCCTTACAGCTTACAGATGTACATTAAACTGCTGGGATGCTGGATACAAACCAAAAAGAAAAAAAATGCACCGACCATTGGGAGGAACCAGGACAAAGTTCTGGAAGGAGGCTGAAGGCCACTAAAATAGCTTCCCTCCTACCTCACTCTGTAAGACTAAGTGACTGTGCGAGGTAGCCAGTCCACACATGTTCCCGTTTGCCTGAAATAATACTTTCTTTCCCAGCTGAAATGTAATAAATTTTCAGAACTATTCAAAGACTTGAGTAAGCTTTTCTCTTTCAAGTATTTTTAAAGACTTCCTTAGATAGATTTCAATTTTTTTTTTTTTTTGGAGAGGTTTTTGCTATAGGGCGTGTGTGCTCGCCAGACAGAGAGACAGAAAGCAAGAAATCACCCCCCAGGGAGGGTGGCCACGCCACAATCCCTTCTCCTCTCAGGATCTTGGGCACGAACGCACACACGCCCGGCGTGAGTTTAAGCCACCAGGTCTGGGACTCGTACCACGGTCAACTACATGGGAGTCCAGCGACATAGCCATTACGCTAACTGCTGGTCCCGATTTCAAATTTTTTAAACTTCTTGATGGGAGGGGCTGGGAGAGTTCTCCAAGAGCATCCCTATTTTCCATTCTCCCTCTCACTTAGTTATCTCGACTCCTTCAAGTTCTGTCCCCTGAGTCACACACCTTCAATACTAGCCTCTGCATTCCCTCCACCACCTCTTAAGAAAACCAGGTTATCCCTCCCACACACACATCCCAAATGGCTTCCAGCGCTCCTCATTCCCTTCCTGTAAAAACTGAACTACTGAGCATGGTTCTTGTGACCCTTCTATCTGTCTTAAACTACCTTTCCATGATCTTATGTCTTTCTCCTCCCGACCCTGCGGCTAATTAAAGCTTTAGCCAGCCAGATGCTAATCAGTCTCTGGACACCAAGGTCCATTCAGACCTCTGGGCACTTGCTGTGCCCTTTGCCTGGAAGCCAATGGTTCACTGCTTCCTGGCCTGCCAAGCTCATTGTTTGAGTCACCACGAGACCTACCTTGCCTTTGAAACCTTAGGCAATTCCATATGGCAAGTTTTCTGCATCCCCATATACTTTTTACTAGCTTTCTATCACATTACTAGCCTTGTAATACAACACAATGGGGATTTAGTCATTGTCTCCACTGTACCCCATCTCCTACCCTCCTATGTCCAAGTGCCCAGCACAAAGCAAGACTGTATTTTTAACACCTGTATTCTTCAGGACTCACTTTACTATACCATGCTTGCTATACACAGCTGCACAATAATTGTTGGTTGAACTCATTAGTTTTCACAGCCTGTAGAAGCAAAATAAGTCTTCCTTCTCTCATCTTGTAAATCTATTTTGCAAATAGATGCTAAATTGGCTTTGGTCATCTCATACCACAAATCCATAAGAGTTCTTACAAGAATATTAGAGACTAACTTCTCTCTTCCCTCCCTGCCCAGCTAGGAGGGTACTGGTTAGAGTCTAAGCATGAGGAAAGGCATCCACCATCCTTTATCCTGGCCTTTAGTCTCCAGGACCAGAATACCTCATTGTGACCAGCCTCTCACTCAGCACTCCAGAGATGCACCTCCTTCTACTCAACACACCCCCAAGAGGTGTCAGCCCCATGTGGGCACACTCAAAACAGAAATACAGAAGAGAATTGGAAGTGCATGCTTACAAACGGTACCTCAGGCTTTCAGGAAACAGCCAAAGAGGCAGGTCACACCATATTCATGCTGGATTTTCCTTTCCCACTCACTGATGGCTTTCAAACATTCAAGAGAGACTTTCAGTCCAGAGGAACCCAGCTTAGCCACTCAACACAACATGAACTTTCATATCCAATTATCCAACAACAGGTAGTAGAGTATCTGCCTAAGCCAAACCATACTGCTAAAGACAGACATACAGTGCTTAGGTGCGATTTCAGACACAGAATCCTACTAATATCTTAAAGTACTTATTAGCTAAAAAAATATATACTGGGTGCCTCCTCAGCAAAAGCACTGTGCTCAGCACTATGCCAAGAAATGAGCAGCACTGAAAAACAAACAAACAAACCTATTCTACACACGCACACACACACACACACACACACACACACTCCCTCGTCCCCTCCCATTTTGCCAAACTACCTGAAAAATAGGTTACAGATATACCTCATGAGATACAATCCTTAAGTACTTCATTCTTCACCTAAGAAGACAGATGTTCTCTGGACCACACCACACCATCATCACCACACCTGAGCAAATCAACACTAACACAAGACTATCATATAACATTTGGTTCACGCTCACACTTCCTCAATTATATAGAAAATGGCCTATTAAGTTGAATTTTTTTTCAGTTTTTTTCTATAGTGCAATCATACTCACCAAAGAGAGATTACCCCCAGGGGGATGGCCTTACCACAACCCTTTCTCCTTCATTCTTCTCTCAGGATTTTGGGCATGCACACACACACACACCCAGCAGGAGTACGGTCATGCCACTGGGTTCAGGACTCTAACCATGGTCTCTAATATGAGAACCTAGGACTTTAACTTCCATGCCACCTATTGGTCCCAAACTGGATTTTCTTTTCTTTTTGCATTTTAAGACCATGTTGAGTGTTCCATCTCCTGAAAACTCATCTTTTAAAAC